CGCCTTATGACGTCGGAGAGCCCGCTGCAGGTGGACGTGTGCAGCGTTCCATGTCTCCTCCGAGCGCCGCGCCCACTCATCCACCGCAGGAGCCTCGATCTGGCTCTGCTGCCAAGGTGCCAGAACCGGCTGGTAACCTAACACACATTGAAAAGGGGTTAGGTTAGTGGAGGAATGGCGTAGGGAATTCTGGGCCATCTCGGCCCAGGGAACGTACCTTGCCCACTCCTCCGGCCGGTCCTGGCAGTATGTTCTAAGAAACCTACCCACATCCTGGTTCACGCGTTCCACCTAACCATTACTCTCCGGGTGGTAACCCGAGGTGAGGCTCACCGAGACTCCCAACCGCTCCATAAAAGCTCTCCAGACTCTGGAGGTAAATTGGGGACCTCGATCAGACACAATATCCTCGGGTACCCCGTAGTGCCGGAACACATGGGTGAATAGTGCTTCGGCGGTTTGCAGGGCAGTAGGAAGGCCCGGCATAGGGAGCAAACGACAGGCCTTAGAAAACCGGTCCACAACGACCAGTATAGTGGTATTCCCCTGTGAAGGAGGAAGGTCAGTACGGAAATCCACCGAGAGGTGAGACCATGGTCGTTGTGGAACGGGCAGGGGTAGTAACTTACCCCTAGGCAGATGTCTAGGCGCCTTACACTGGGCGCACACCGAGCAGGAGGAAACATAAACCCTCACATCCCTCGCCAACGTGGGCCACCAGTACTTGGTACTAAGACAGTGCACTGTCCGGCCGATACCAGGGTGTCCAGAGGAGGGTGACGTGTGAGCCCAATAGATCAATCGATCCCGAACCTCGAGCGGAACGTACTTCCGACCCTCCGGGCATTGAGGTGGACTAGGGTCGGTGCGTAACGCCCGCTCGAGTTCAGCATCGACCTCCCACACTACCGGTGCCACCAGACAAGACTCCGGCAGTATGGGAGTGGGCTCCACGGACCTCTCCTCCGTGTCATACCGCCGAGACAGTGCGTCTGCCTTACCGTTCTGTGACCCAGGGATGTACGTGATCTTAAATGTGAACCGGGTCAAAAACATATTCCACCTCGCCTGGCGAGGGTTCAGCCTCCTCGCTGCCCGGATGTACTCCAGGTTACGGTGGTCCGTCAAAATGAGGAAAGGGTGTTGAGCCCCCTCAAGCCAGTGCCTCCACACCTTTAGGGCCTGTACCACGGCTAACAGCTCCCTGTCCCCCACGTCATAGTTTCGCTCCGCCGGACTGAGCTTCTTGGAATAAAAAGCACAGGGGCGGAGTTTAGGTGGCGCGCCGGACCGTTGCGACAGCACGGCTCCTATACCGGCCTCTGACGCGTCCACCTCTACCTGAAATGGCAAAGAGGGATCCGGATGCGCCAGCACCGGAGCCGAGGTAAACAGGTCCTTCAGCCTCCCAAACGCCCTGTCCGCCTCGGCTGACCACTGCAGACGCACCGGACCCCCCTTCAAAAGAGACGTTATGGGAGCTGCCACCTGTCCAAAACCCCGGATACACCTCCGGTAATAATTCGCAAACCCCAAAAACTGCTGCACCTCCTTCACAGTAGTTGGCGTTTGCCAATTACGCACGGCTGACACCCGGTCTACCTCCATCTTCACCCCTGACGCAGACAACTGATAACCCAAAAAGGAGACCGACTCCTGGAAGAACAGACACTTCTCTGCCTTGACATACAGGTCGTGCTCCAACAGTCTCCGCAACACTCGGCGCACCAGGGCCACATGCTCGACTCGGGTAGGCGAGTACACGAGAATGTCATCGATGTACACGACCACCCCTTGCCCCTGCATGTCCCTGAAGAGCTCATCCACGAATGATTGGAAAACTGAAGGAGCGTTCATCAACCCGTATGGCATGACAAGATACTCGTAATGGCCCGAGGTGGTACTAAAGGCTGTCTCCCATTCATCGCCCCCCCTAATGCGCACCAAGTTGTACGCGCTCCTGAGATCTAATTTAGTGAAGAAACGCGCCCCGTGCAATGACTCCGTCATGGTCGCAATCAGCGGGAGTGGATAACTGTACTTCACCGTGATCTGATTGAGACCACGGTAATCAATGCACGGGCGTAATCCTCCATCCTTTTTCTTCACAAAAAAGAAACTCGAGGACGCAGGGGAAGTGGAGGGCCGTATGTATCCTTGTCTCAGAGATTCGTCTATGTACGTCTCCATAGCTCTCTTCTCCTCCTGAGACAGAGGATACACATGGCTCCGTGGGAGCGCAGCTCCTGCCTGGAGGTCTATCGCACAATCTCCCTGCCTATGGGGAGGCAACTGCGTCGCCCTCGACTTACTGAACACAATAGCCAAATCCCCATACTCAGGGGGAACGTGCAATGCGGGCACCTGGTTTGGACTCTCCACCGAGGTAGCCCCTACGGAAACGCCTAAACATCGACCCACACACTGGGCAGACCACTCCATCAGAGCCCTCTCCTGCCACGAAATAGATGGGTTATGGGTACTCAACCAGGGCATGCCCAGCACCACCGGATACGCAGGCGAGTCGATCAGAAATAGCTGGATCATCTCCTGATGACCCCCCTGCGCACACATCCTAAGTGGCGCAGTGACCTCCCTGATCAAGCCCGCACCCAACGGACGGCTATCTAGGGCATGAACGGGGAAGGGAACGTCAACAGGGAGAAGGGGAATCCCTAAGGCTAAACAAAACTTCTTATCAACAAAATTCCCAGCCGCGCCTGAATCTACCAGCGCCTTATGCTGGGAATGAGGTGCTACCTGTGGAAAACGCACAGATATACAGAAATGTGCAACAGAGAGCTCTGGGTGAGTGGGGCGCCTACTCACCTGGAAAGACTCCCCAGTGCGGGACCTGTTGTCCTCTCCCCGAGGAGGCCATCCCCAGCACCTAGCCGCGGTGTGTCCTCCCTGACCACAGTTGGTGCAGGAGATGGACCCCCTCGTAAGCCGACCCCTCCTCTCTCTAGCGCCAGCGCCCCCGAGCTCCATGGGGCACGGCTCGGAGGCGCTGGAGGGTGAAATGAACGGACCCCCCTCGGAACGTCCGCGGGTAGCTAGCAGGGTATCCAGCCTGATGGACATGTCGACCAACTGGTCGAACGAGAGGCTGGTGTCCCTACAGGCCAGCTCCCTACGGACGTCCTCGCGTAGACTACATCGGTAGTGATCGATGAGAGCCCGCTCATTCCACCCTGCATCCGCCGCTAGGGTACGGAACTCCAAGGCGAACTCCTGGGCACTCCTCTTCCCCTGCCTGAGGCAGACCAGACGCTCCCCCGCCGCTTTCCCCTCCGGGGGATGGTCAAACACCGCCCTGAAGCGGCGGGAGAACTCGTCGTAGGTGATGGTGTTAGCGTCGATTCTCCTCCACTCTGCGTTGGCCCATTCCAACGCCTTCCCGGAAAGGCAGGAGATCAGGGCGGACACGCTCTCGTGTCCCGAGGGCGCCGGGTGCACGGTGGCCAGGTAAAGCTCCACCTGGAGAAGGAATCCCTGACACCCGGCCGCGGTCCCATCGTAGGCCCTCGGGAGCGAGAGTCGAACTCCTCTGGGTTCCGGAGCGGGAATGGGCTGAGTGGCCAATGGTGCGGGCAGGGAGGATGGCGGTGGAGGAGTCCCTCGGGTCTCCCAGCCTCGGATGGTGGTGATCACCTCCTGCAGTGCGGACCCCATCCGCAGGATCTGGTCATTCTGTTCGCGGACCCTGTCCTCCAACGTCGCCTGTGCTGCTGCGGCTCCTGCTGATTCCATCGAGTATGGTGTGTGATTCTGTCAAGGTAGATGTAGGTGGGTGTGGTGGTGGAATCAGGCGCAGGACGCAGAACGTTAGTCCAACAGACTTTAGTTGATGCACACGAAAAACAATCACAAACAAACGCCCTGAGGCGAAACTCCGCACGTAGGCGAAAATAACGGGCGCACTAACAGGTGCGACAAAAACACTCCAAACAATGGAGATAATGCTCAACCGAGCAAACAGTAGAAATCCAGCCTACCGGCACGACAGTAAAACAATCACACACAACACTAGACAAACACAATGAGAACTTATAGGACACTAATTACACTAAACGATAACAGGTGTACAACAATCAGACAAAAGCAAACGAACATAGAAACATGCAACGGTGGCAGCTAGTATTCCGGAGACGACGAACGCCGAAGCCTGCCCGAGCAAGGAAGAGAGGCAGCCTCGGCCGAAACCGTGACACAAGATGTCATGCCAAACGACCACTGCGTACATGAAGCCAAAGTTGCTAATCTTGGCGGCAATGCTGTTTGCCTCCAACCTTGTATAAATGTATACATCTCTTGGATGGTGTTAAAAAACTCTGCCGCCTCCAAGCAACACGATGCTGTATCAGAGAGAACCAGGTTCAGCGAGTGCGCGCTGCATGGCACAAAAAAGGCCCTCGGATTGATATCTTGCACACTCTTTTGAACTCCGCTGTGCCTCCCCCGCATATTCGCCCTGTTGTCATATCCCTGCCCTCTCATGTCCGTGATGGCGATGCCATGTTTCTGTAGTTTTGAGATGAGCAACTCGGTCATGCCCGCCCCCATTGCGTCAAGCAGTTCACTAAACTCCAGGAAGTGCTCTCTTGTGCGCACTGACCCATCATCCTCGGTTGAAACAAAACGCAACTCCATGGTCATCTGCTCTGTTTTGCTCTTGTCTGGTGTGCCGTCCAAAATAATATAAACATATTTGGCTGCTTTTAGATCACTGCACACTGTCTGCTGGATCTCTTGTGCCAGCATGTCAATGATTTCGTTCTGGATTCTTTTACCGAGGTAGTGCACATGTGTTTCTTTGGACTGTACTCTCCTTACATGCTACTTCATGATTATATCAAAGATACCCAGCATTTCCACAAACTTCAGAAAGTTCCCATTATTTGGCTCGTATTTGGTTTCCCCTCTTTATCCTGATGTGGCCCAGCCTGCACTAACATATCCCGTAAAGATCCATTCATATATTTTGGCCACTCACCGGGATCTTTTATGTTTTTTGTCTGGGAGTTGGATTTAACAGCAGCACCACCACTGTCATCGGGGACGGGGAGCGACGAATCTGAGCCTGGGACCAAGATAGTAGGGTCTTCGCCGGCACTGTTTTGAAGGTGTGGCTAGGCCTGGTGCAACCACCTGTTCTTGTCCAGCCAGAGAGCTGTCATCATCAGTGGAAGTGCATGGCTCGGACTCCTCCGGTTGTTCTCGGCGAATGAATGGCTTGTCCTCGGAGGCTTGTCATTCTCCACACCGGCTGATGGACATTGCTGCACGCTGATAAATTTCAGCAGGGAATTTCTTTGGCTGCATATTGTAAAATTCGACTGCTCGACAGACCACACATAATTTAATATCCAACTTTTTACCTCTGAAATGTAGCGAACTGATTTTCTAATGTTGCTAGCTTAGTTGCTAAATGTTGATAGAACTGCTAAGACAGCAAAAATGAAAGAAATCGTAAGCGTTAGATAATACATATCACGAAAACAGCTGAATGTTGTCCTCTGACGGGGGCGTTTTGCACAATCTGCAACAATTTATTTGGAACTTTGAACCATGAACTTTTTGACACCTATCACTGTTGGCTATGTTTCATCTTACAACAGCTACATAGAGGCAGTATTTAGTCAAATGTTACAATGTATGCATCAATATTAAACTAATTGTGACACTAATTTTCATTACAGATAACATCAAACAAAAAACGTGGGTGCACTTTCAGTTATTGTGAAAACTTTCATCACCTTTCAATGCCTTAGCTTTGAAATGTAAATGTATATACATATTCAGATTGACTTATCTTTCTAAAATGTGTATAGTATGCCAAGTTATTTAGCTACATGTATTTACCACCACAGCATGGAGAAAGTCAAGAGGAAGCAGTGGAGTGAGAACCTGAGCATGAGGGGGCCGGGCACCCTGGACAGGGTGAGAGCTGAGTGTGCCACACGTCCGATGATGGACACCTTCTTCACTTCTTATGAGAAGCACTTGGAGGAGAGTGGGTTGAGGGAGAAACCCAGACAAATCTACAACTGCGATGAGTCTGGGTTTCGTAGCGACCAGAGCAGGCACAAAGTGCTGGCTCCCCGGGGCCAAAACACGTGTACCAGCAGGCTCCGGGGACCAAGGAGCACATCACAGTGCTGGCCTGCTTCAACGCAGCTGGGTAGGCCGTCCCCCCCATTTATCATCTACCCCAAGTGTTTCCCCAGTGGCCACTACACAGTGTGCAACACCTGTAGGAGCCGCCGGAGTCCCCAGCTGCAGAAGAAGGCCACGCGCATACTCTCCCGGGCACACCATCGTCGGCCCCTCAACCCCACCATTACAAACACCAGCTCCTCCAAGCCATCGGCGGCGGTTTTGTCCAACACCACCACGATGCACACCACCCTCCCCCCGTCTGTCACCACCAACACGGCCTCCTCTGGACCAACTGCCTCCTCCGTCTCCCCTGGTCACACCACCATAGCAGCCTCGTCTGGTGTCCCTGCCCCCTGCAATTTGAATACAGCCACCTCCACAGATAAACACATGTTAAATTATGAAAAAATGACTGTTTGTTATCTGTTTTATAAAACAGCAATGTACTTTTTTTGTATCTCTTTACATATCTACAGTCCATAGCACCAGCCCTCAAGTCATCTCCACCTCCTCCAAAACGTCTGCAGCTTCCTCCAGAGGTATTGATGTAAAAAAGTTTAAAAGGATTTTCATGAAACATGCTCTGTCTAACACTACTTTTTCTCAAACTGCAGCACAGAAAAGGAAGAGAAAAGCTCCTCTTGTCATGAGCCTCTCACTCCACCGGGTTACCACCCTAATTTTCTTCCACTCTGCTCACCATTCTCTCTACTCAGCCTAACTAGCTCCACCTGTCCCTGCTCTGCTCTGCTCTAATTACTCTGCCAGCTGCGCTGCATTACCCACTACCTCTCCCAGTATTTAAGGCCCTGTCTTTCAGCTCTCCGGTGTCAGATCGTCTGCAAAGCTCACTCCCGGAACCTGTTTGCTCGCGCTTCTGGCTCACCCTGGTTTTGTGACCCCGGACCTGCCTGATTTTTGGATACTCTTCTGCCCCAGGAGATCCAGACCTGCTTTCTGCCTTAACGACTCCTGACTACTCTTCAATCCCGGTAACTCTGACCAGCCTTCTGCCTTGCTACTACGTATTTTGGATTTCCCTTGAACTGTACTGCTGCCTTGTTTCATTCCGCCCTGTTGTGTCTGTGTCTCCCCCCCCCAGGACTTCTGGACCACCCACCACCGGCTTCATAGGACGCATCGCTGCCACTGGGGGGGGCACAGACCCAGCACATTGGACGGGATCCCTGTTACCCCTGGAGCCTTCATTCACTCCCTACTTCCCTTTTCCCTTAAGTTTTAATAAACTTTCTGGTGTGACGCAATTGTGGTCCTCTGGTCGTCTGTCTGAACCGTGACACCTCTGGCCACCTCTGTCACGCCACCCATGGCACCACTCTCAGGTACTTCATAATCTGTTTTTCTCTCAGTTGTATCAATTACTATTGTTATTAAAGAACTTCTACATTTTGCAAAACCATGTTAATCAATTTTATTCTTATTTTATATAAAAGAAGACACCACCTGCTGTGCTTGCTGCGGGGAGCATGATCCGTCTGCAAGCTCCCCTCAGGAGTGTAGATCCGAGGTGCCATGGTTGTGCTGTGACTTCTGCCAGCACTGGTTCCACTGCAGGTGTGTGCAGTGGGATCCAGAGGTAGCAGTGGAGCTGGATTTTTTTATTGTGATTTTTGTATTGTGATTTTTGTGACAATATAAGGATGGAGGTCAAGATTTAATTGTTTGTTTTGTTTGTGTTCATATGAAATTATTTGTTTGCCTAAAATATAATATATATATATTTATTCAACCCATCTTGTGTATTTATTCCTTTACTTTCCAAGTGCATCTCTGCAACACAAACTCTAACAGTGTTTTCATTGTTTGTCAATGCACATTACTGAAATTAAAGTTTTATTTTATGTAAATTATTCATACTCATATTATATTTTAGTATTCAACTGTTATCTACTTTCTCAAAACATAAGATTAATCTGTAAAACAAATTATGAGACATTATTTGGTTACAACACTGAATATGTTGGTGAAGAACCATTTTTTAAGAGTCCACAGGAGGGCGCACCGGGCTATGCAATGAAAAGTTGACAGGCAAGTCATTATTTTTTTACCGGAAGGCTAGCCAACTAGTCAACTATCTAGTAAACACTTCGGATACGAGGTTGGTGTCGCTTCTTTGAACAAAATTAAATGGATATGTCTCGTAATTGAACAAAATAGTATATTGGCCAATAACTGGGGACCGTATGCCGATAATACGGGATGTATTTTTTTGCTAAACCGCTTATCAAAAAGCTGATAGCATGTTTGACATTTCAGTGGAAATACTACTAATTGCTAACCCATTAGCTAACATTTTTACGATACCAATAATCACAAAATATTGATGGCTTGATCACAAGATAAAAGTGTTGAAGGTAATATATTTCTTAAACGCTGTTGAATATGCCGATAATACCGGATTCCACGCTAGGCTACTGCCTTAATCACTAATCGTCCTCATCATACACAAACATAAAAAACAAAGCAATTTAATTGGCAGATTAATGTTTCACAATTGGATAATCCCATATAAACACACACATCACCATAGCTACCAAGGATAGTGGGAGTGAACTTCGGGAGAAGTGGGAATGGGGTGAGGGCGGGAACTGCAGCAACACTATGAGCTGGTGGCTGTGGTGCAGTCGGCGGTGTAGCAGCCGATCAGGGGAGCCGAAGGGCGGCAGCCAATTGTCAGAATGCCGCCCCAAATTCAATTGCCGCCACAGGCGGCTGCCTAATCTTACCTAATGGGAGGGCCGGCCCTGCATAGCGTGCACCACAACCAAATGCAGTTGGTAATTAAAGCAATGCACATATGGCACTTTGCGATTCAAGTTATCTTGCAATATTTTCTGCACACCCCTGTGTTTCCCGGACATCTTACTAGCCCCGTCGTAGCATTGACTTAGAATCTTTCAGTGCTGAGGCCATCATTTGTTAGCACTGAGATAACAAGGTTAGTTAGTGATAAAGCATCACGTTGTTTGCTTGTTGCCATTGGCAGCAACCGCTCTCGCACACAGTTTTTTTCCATCTACATATCGAATGACAATAGAAATGTTCTCTCATCCAGTTGGGTCTTTGGTTCCATCTACTTTCAGTGTATACCACGAATCACCAATTTCCTTCACAATTACCTCTGTGAAAATCTTACTCATAAGAGCTATGATTTCGTTCTGAATGTCATGGGATGTACACTACCGTTTAAAAGTTTGGGGTCACTTAGAAATGTCCTTGTTTTCCATGAAAACATACATTAAATGAGTTTGAATAGGAAATATAGCAAAATGCATAGGAAACGTAGTCATTGACAAGGTTAGAAATAATGATTTTTAATAGAAATAATATAATTGTGTCCTTCAAACTTTGCTTTCGTCAAAGAATCCTCCATTTGCAGCAATTACAGCCTTGCAGGCCTTTGGCATTCTAGTTGTCCATTTGTTGAGGTAATCTGAAGAGATTTCACCATGCTTCCTGAAGCACCTCCCACAAGTTGGATTGGCTTGATGGGCACTTCTTACGTACCATACGGTCAAGCTGCTCCCACAACAGCTCAATAGGGTTGAGATCCGGTGACTGTGCTGGCCACTCCATTATAGACAGAATACCAGCTGACTGCTTCTTCCCTAAATAGTTATTGCATAGTTTGGAGCTGTGCTTTGGGTCATTGTCCTGTTGTAGGAGGAAATTGGCTCCAATCAAGCGTCGTCCACAGTGTATGGCATGGCGTTGCAAAATGGAGTGATAGCCTTCCTTCTTCAAGATCCCTTTTACCCTGTACAAATCTCCCACTTTACCACCACCAAAGCACCCCCAGACCATCACATTGCCTCCACCATGCTTGACAGATGGCATCAAGCACTCTTCCAGCATCTTTTCATTTGGTCTGCGTCTCACAAATGTTCTTCTTTGTGTTCCGAACACCTCAAACTTCGATTCGTCTGTCCATAACACTTTTTTCCAATCTTCCTCTGTCCAGTGTCTGTGCTCTTTTGCCCATCTTAATCTTTTATTTTTATTGGCCAGTCTGAGATATGGCTTTTTCTTTGCAACTCTGCCTAGAAGGTCAGCATCCCGGAGTCGCCTCTTCACTTTTGACGTTGAGACTGGTGTTTTGCGGGTACTATTTAATGAAACTGCCAGTTGAGGACCTGTGAGGCGTCTGTTTCTCAAACTAGACACTCCAATGTATTTGTCCTCTTGCTCAATTGTGCACCGGGGCCTCCCACTCCTCTTTCTATTCTGGTTAGAGCCAGTTTGCGCTGTTCTGTGAAGGGAGTAGTACACAGCGTTGTACGAAATCTTCTGTTTCTTGGCAATTTCTCGCATGGAATAGCCTACATTTCTCAGAACAAGAATAGACTGACGAGTTTCAGAAGAAAGTTATTTGTTTCTGGCTATTTTGATTCTGTAATCGAACCCACAATTGCTGATGCTCCAGATACTCAACTAGTCTCAAGAAGGGCAGTTTTATTGCTTCTTTAATCAGCACAACAGTTTTCAGCTGTGCTAACATAATTGCAAAAGGGTTTTCTAATGATCAATTAGCCTTTTAAAATGATAAACTTGGATTAGCAAACACAACGTGCCATTGGAACACAGGATTGATGGTTGCTGATATTGGGCCTCTGTACGCCTATGTAGATATTCCATAAAAAAATCAGCCGTTTCCAGCTACAATAGCCATTTACAACATTAACAATGTCTACACTGTATTTCTGATCAATTTGATGTTATTTTAATTGGCTGAAAAATTGCTTTTCTTTTCGAAAACAAGGAAATTTCTAAGTGACCCCAAACTTTTGAACGGTAGTGTATATGGGGCATTACATGGAATTGTGCTAAATGCTTTTGCAAGTTCCTTGTCTTTTCTCAGCGTGGATTCCAACATTGACAGAAACATTCCACTGCTTCCTTCTCCCATCGAGTCAATCGCATCCAAACTCCCTCACAAAGGAAGCTCATTTACTGCAATAAACTCCACAATGTCCACAGATAAAGATGATCTCTTCCTAGATGCTCAGTATTCACAAGAGTGAGACATTTATTTTCCCATTGTGCTTCGTGTTTGTTTTTGTCTTCCATAAAATCATGCATTTGAAAGGCTCTATACAAGAGGCATGCTTCCCCAGCCCTTTAATTTCCAATTTCAGTAGCCAGTTTGAGTGAAAGCTCTGTCCGAATTAGCATTAGCAAATGTTAAAAGGATAACAGAAGGCTGTATCTGCCTTGCAGAAATATTCAAGCCACTGAACCAGGCGCTGCAAAAGGCCCACTTTCTTCCACTGAAAATGTGGCTTGGGTAAGTGTCAAGACAAACCTGCGTTGGCTCATTATCATTGAGGTCGTCAGTTGCTAGTGGCTGGGGTAATGGATGTGCAGGACCAGGTACTTGTTGTGATGTTACCATCGTGCTCTTGTATGTCAGCAGGCGGTGTGGGGGATATGGCGGGCATTGCATTTTCTGCTAGGCACATCAACCTCGGTTGTCAGGCTAGCAGGCTGCTCGGCTTCGGTCTCAACGTGGTGGTCCTCAGTTTTTTTGCTCTTGGCAGTGCCCAGCCATTTTCAGATATCCATGCTGATCAAAGCTTAGCCAACCTGCTATAATTATTCAGTGCGCCACTACCAAAACTTAACGAAGCTAGCTGTAGCTGTCTGTAAAAGTGAACAACCTTTTTCTCTCTGTGAGAAAAAAAACTGTCAATTTGACCTCGCCCTGGGATACAATGAGCTTCCTAAACAAGGTAATGAAGGTGGTACCTTATGACATTGCATGGCTAGGTGCCCAATCAGAATGCATTTTTGGATTTTAACTACAAAATATTACATTATTACATTCCCCCCTCTCCCTCCCCCCGCCTCTTCAGATCATGAATGCACACCAGTATATAGCCTTGGTCCCAGTCTGCACTACTGGCAGGCCTGGCGGGCCTAAACTGGCAAAACCGGGCATGGTCATGAAATAATAATAATGAATATTTTTTTTATTTTGGGGGGGGGGGGCTTATATTTGTCCTGTTACACACAAGTGTGTAATGGAAATGTGTTTTTTTGCATATCCCAACTCTACCTGAGACACATGCAGGGAGTGGGGTCACGGCCATGGTCGCCATTGTAAAGCGCCCCTGGAGCAATTAGGGTTACGTGGCTTGCTCAAGTGCACAGCAACAGATTTTTCTTACATTTTTAATATGATTGGGGTGGCACAAATTCTATCTGGGGTGTCCATGCCCGGCTTTGCCGCCACATAGCGCCGGCCTTGGACCCGGGTTCGCTTCCCTGCTCCCCGATCGCTACAATACCATGCCAACCAAACAATAGAGAGACAGTAATAACAGTTTTTATTGATAGCATGCCCATTGCTCTTGTGCTGTATAGTGAAACAGTTATTTGTACTGTGGTATGAAACAGTACTATAATGGGAATGATGCAGCTTCTTTCATATAGGTGGTTATAAAGCACAGCAATGGCACACTAAATGCAATCTGCAACCTACAGTATGTCTTGTGCATTCATATCATATACAGCCCATATTCTGTTTTTACAGTGCATAAATAGAACAGTATATGGTGTTTTTCTCTCTATATCCTGGGTGAATCAATCAGCGTTGGCCTCTCATTGAAGACCGGGAGAGTTCATTAGTACATTAGCAGGGCACTCTGGGAAATCAAAACCACAGACTCTTGAGTAATTCTACTCCTTCATTCCCTGTGATGGGGTTGGCTGCCGTTTGATCTCACGCTCCCTTCTTCTTTCTTTCTCTCCCTCACGAGCGGTCGTGTTCATTTTCTCTTATTAACCATGTTTTGAGGCTATAGAGTGTTTGTTTTAATTTACTTTGTTTACAAACATTGGAGTCAAACAAGTTTGGATTTTGGTTTCTGACGGGGTACGACAGTTGAACTAAGCTCATGAGGCATTATAAGTTATATTCTTCAAGGATCAATGGGTAGGCCTACATATCATACATTTATAAGTCCAAACATGGATGTAGCAACTGCAGATTGCCCCTTTAAAGCATAATGTCTGTTGTTTTTGTGATTCAAAAGACTGAAGATAAAAGGGATCATGAATAGAATTAAATGTAAAATAACTTTTCAGTTTTTCATTACTCTGGACCTGTCATAGTTAATTTTGCGTTTCCTGATTCTCCTCATTTGAAATTTCAATATGTCTACTTTATCTCTCCAGAAGCCAAATTATCTCCTAACATTTATTCCTCTATGAATATTTGATTGTCAAAAATTGCCTAACGAATGGACGGGCCTGAGATTTGGTTTTGATTCGAGACTATCAACTATCAAGAAATCAATTTATTCTGCTTTGAATAATTCAGGCATTAATGGGATGAGAAATGGGGAGAGGGGCGGAGGGTTGAAAAGATGGGGAGGGCGTGGGACAGATGGAGAGATAGGACTGCAGACATGCCAATCAAGCACCAGAGCCCCAGTCTCTCTGTGGTCACTGCTAGGAGAGCCCAGTGCTATTCTGCTGCTGTAATCTCTGCTGGCCTGCTGTCTCTTCAGGGTTAGTTAGGTGAGTGGTTGGGTGCTGACATCCACCTGCTGCAAAGTATCTGCCATTTTTGGTTTGACTTGCTGAAGGTGGTTAATATGGCAGTCCGAGC